AACTTATCTTTATGGAATTGGTAACTCAAGAGGATCGATTAATCTAAAGTCCAAGTTCTCACAGTAATCAATTTCAACCTATAAGTAATAAAGCACGTCTACAATTCTTGTTAAAAATAGTGATAAAAGTCAGATGTAAGGATAGTCAAATTCAATCTTGAACCTTGACTGGAGTTGGATTCTCAGGGCATGGTTTGAGGATATGCTCTCCAAGAACAAAGTTCTGAAGTCTCCATACATATGCTTCTGCTGTATCCATATGGCAAGTAATAACATTGCACCAATCACGCTCCCTAATTTCAGCTTCAATTTTTGGAAAGAAAATAGTTACAGTAATTAGGATGTATAACAAGAAAATAACAAGTTGTGGGAGATGCGATTTTCTCGTCAGCATGCAAACACATAGTAAAACATAAGGTAAAATCTAAGCTCCACTTCACAAAAAGGTACTTTCTCTAAAGGGATCAACCAATAAACATTCGTTCTATTGACAAAGAGACAGCCACGTTGGACCTAATTACTACTCAACACATTTTGTAGATATCAAATGGTTTCAATCTAGAATTCTTGATTTGTTCAGACATCATGATACTTAGAATGTGACAGAAAGAAGCCAAGCAACATAATTGCAGAAAATGTAAAGATCAAGTACCGCAATCAAATGAAACAACAGGCTTCAACTTCAGCTCTTCGTCCTACATTGAGAGAATAAATATATTAGCAAAACATATATCATTTCCAAGTACACAAGTTACTACGAACGCAAAATATATCGAAACACAAGATCTTAGGTATAACATTTTTTAAATTGAACCAGAACCACTTAAAAGGATGCTAACTGGCCCTTGAAAACATAAGAGAAATCAAAAGAAATTGTCTGGCTATACCTTCAGTCGGAGTTTTTTGGCTCGCCTGGATATGTGTCTTTGAGAAAGCTCTCTACTTTGTTGCTCCTGATGAGGTAATTAATATAAGGTAATGACTATTATCGTCAATGGACTTCAGATCCTCAGGAAAAACATAGACCACAAATTAAGAAACAATAAACTCAACATCTAAAAGAACAATCAGACTCATGAAAAATCAAACAAACACGATGTTCAAGAAATTCCCATCAAAAGAACTGTCAGGTATGGCGAGTGAGAGACAAGAAAAAAAAAACACAAAATATTTGAAAGTAACATCTAACAAAAATACTAGTCAATTTGTAAAATTTGCCTATATACCAGTACATGATGAGGAAAATTACTGCTTGATAAATAATATGACAATACTGAAATTAGTGATTGCAAAGCTACAAATGAGTAGTCAGTCATTGTCTGAAATTTCATAATCCTGATAAAGAATTACTAAATCTGCATCATATCTTACTTGGATGACAGAGAACAGGCGGAAGGCACGATCCTGTCCAGCAGACAATATATGCCGTCCATTAGAGTAGAACCTACCAAATGTAGAAGTCAAATAAGTTTAGAAAACCTTTATTGGCATGCCCTCGATATAGCCACCATAAAGAAACTACTCTTTCTAAGAAAACAAATATTCATCACTATAAAATAGTCAACTGGCAGAAATTCATCAGTTTAAGTTTTCAATTATCATCAGGATGAACAGTATTAGTTACTTTACCAACGACTATGGATCATAAATGCTACTTACACACCAAAAGTAAAAAAATCTCATAAATAAATAAAGAAAAGCTAAATGGAAGCCATCAGACAATTCAATAAGATGTGGACGTCCAAACTAATCACCTGATACACAAAGGGGGAGCACTATGCCCCGAGCGGAAGCGTAATAGGCGAGGATCAGAATCATTTGTGTCAAAGATCCACATCTACAGGTATAAGAATGAAAAATATTATATGAGGCACAGTGGATGAAAATAAGTCCAACAGGTAAGAGAAATCTCAGCTTACTTTGAGTGAGTTATCTGCCGATGCACTCATTAGCACGGGCTCATTTGCTAAAAAGTTCAATGAGATTATCGAACTGTCATGTGCATCTCTAATGACTGACTGAAGTCTCTTTTTGCTAAGATTCCAGATGCTTATGACACCAAAGGAACCTCCAGACGCAAGAAGGGGACGTCCATCTAACATGACAGGATACACATATTAGCACTGGAAAGTGGACATGTGAATATATTTCTCTCTACATAGAGAAAAAAGCTACTAGTACAATTACAACTTAGAGTCAAGGATATTTTCAAAAACGAACTACAGTACTAAGGTTTTTACCTGTACTGAAAGACAAAGCAGTAACAGCACCTCGCGAGGCATGTTCGAAGGTTACGATCTCTTCGTCCAACTTTATGTTATGCACATGGATCTTTCCATCAGCACAACCAATGGCAACAACATCCAGGGCAGGGGACGAAACACAACTGGTGACAGATGAACCCCAACCCTTAAACTCATAGAGCATCTTCTTAGTATTTATGTTCCATAGCTGCAACGGACCTTCTTGGCTCCCTACAAGAACCTACCATGTGGCTCCAAGTAAGAGAAATGGATAGAGTTATATCGGCTTGTCAACAGAGGAAACCAAAAAAGAAAAAGAGAAAAGAAGATGAAACTTTAAAACCAAGTAGGACTTACCTTGTTCAAATAAGTATCTGGGTGAACAATAGAGCTCGGGGTAAACTTTCCAGTAAGCTGAAGATTTCCAATCGGAGCTAGATGTTCTTCTATTCCCTTGAATGCCCATATAAACATATTTCCCTCAACATCAAGACTTAGCACATGTTCTCCAAACAACAGTAGCAGGTCAACTTTAGCAACATGTTTGCTCCAAGTAGCTACCTGATTAATATCCACAAGAATTCTAACTATAAGGAAAATACTCATAGATTTAAAAAGCAGGAAACCCAACTTAACTTATAATCACAATGAGGAACTTGTGGAAATCAAGGGTTCTTGAAATTTTTTTTTTGATATATATAAAAGTCACCGTTATAACCTATTTATATAAGTTGTAAGCCAAAAGGAATGAATACACAAACATGGTCAAGTTAAGTTTTTTTACCTGATGAGCACGCCTAAAGACAGCGATTTCATTACCAAAAGCAGCAAAAGTGTAGTCGCGGTAAGAAGCTAGAGCTCTAATCTTCTTTGGGAGTTGAGGACCTTCAGATAACACCAAATTAGATTGTTAGAAAAACAATCGATCGTTAACATAAAAATTTGAGTTTAGGCATTAGAAAAAGAGAAAAACTTACTGATAATGACAAGATTGAGCTTGGCGCACTGCAAGAAAACGAGACAAAGGAATCCAAAAAAAATAAAAAACCAAGGAATGGAGTGAATAAAGAACACGAAAGTGAAACTAAGAAGATGGGGGCATTACATTATAAATCTGAAAAGCTTTGCCAACGCTGACGGTGACAAAGGTCTCGGTTCCTAATCGCTGGACGGAGAACGGAACCGTACTCGTTATGTAACCAATTGCTCTAAACGGTTCGAAGATTCCCATCTTCCAGAGAGTAACTGCTTCGAACAAGAAATTAGGGTTTGTTGTAGGGGAAACAAATTAAGGTTTATGTAAGTGTAGGCGTAAGAAGAAATTCGAAGAAAGGTTTGATTAAGAGAGAGAGAGAGAAATAGAAAACGCGGCGGCGGAGGAGCAATGGTGAGGAGGAGGAGGGAGAGATAGAACAAAACAAAGTCACAAACAGGGTTTAGGGTTTAACGGTGTAAAAAGAATTTCCTTTGTCCGAATTTTTTAATTTTTATTTCCAATTTTTTGGATTCCGGTTAAGTGCCCCCTTCGGTTTATAGTTTTTCTTTTTTGATGGTTTGGAGAATGCTCGGTTTGGTTTGGTTTGGTGAAATTATTACTCGGTTTCAGATAAAAGTCATAAGTAAATTACTGTGAGGGCGATTGGTGATGACTTTTAAGGCTTTAAAACCATTTTAAATCCTTAACAGTAATTAATTTGCCAATCAACATTTTTTTCTTTTATTTTTTTTAAAGCATTAAAAGTCACTTTTTTTTTTTTTCTTTTTTTTCTCATTTTTCTTAAAACGTCAAAAACCTGACTTTAAATTTAATCAATTAAAAAGATTTATTTTTCATATCCCCATTACATTTAAAACCTTTTCACAAGTTTATAAATATATTTTATATATTTTATTTTTATAAATTAATTACTCTCATTTTTTTCTTGTTCTTTTAAGATCCATTTCAATAATACTTTTATTTTATAAATTCATTTATGATATAATGTATATTTATTAGAAATATAAAATAATAATAATAATAATAACATACATAACTTTAAAAGCTATTCATTGCCAATCAGATTTTAACAGTAAAAGTTTCTACAGCCAGAGCATCTACAGCCAAATTCTCTACAGCCAAAATTTTAAAGTTAAAGTCTCTACAGTCACAAGTAACAGTCGTTACCAATCGACCTCTGTATTGATAACTTTACAACCACACCAAAATTGTAACTCGGTTTTGATCAAAAATGATTTCCACTCGGTTTGATTTAAATAAATTTTGGTTTGATGACAGAAAGGATTTTTAATCCCCAGCCGTCGGATCATCAGGAACTCTCTCTAGTCTAAACAGTGAGATTGGAGTTAAATCCTAACCGTTGGATCAAAGCTTTCTTTGTTTTACAGTTTACACCAATGATTTAAGCGATACCCTCATCGAAAGTAAATGGGAATTTAATGAAAAAAACCCTCAACATTGGTCGGATCCATTTTTAAACCCTCAACTATTTTTTTAATAAATAAAACCCTGATTAGGGTTTTCGCTGGATTGTGAATTAACAAAATGCAATTTGTTATTATTCCTCCTCTTTAGATCGGGAAATATTCCATATTTTGACAAAAAGGGAAATTTTTTAGTTGCTTTTCTCTGTAATAAAAAAAACGGAATATTTGATATTGTACATATAATAGGTTAAGCCTTGACAAGTTGCTCGACAAGAAGAAAAAGAACCTTTACAAAGTTCTTCTCTCAGGGCTCTGTCTTGTGAAGATCCAAAGATGCTGCAAACCGTTGGGGAAACTAAAGAAATCGACAGGATTAGTGCATTGCCCGATGATTTGCTCATAACTATCTTGGATCTTGTCCCGACAAAAGACGCAGTAGCCACCATGGTTCTGTCTAAACGATGGTTCTATGTTTGGACGATGAAACAGAGACTTGAGTATAAAGACATCGAAGAGAAGGCTGTTGATAGTAGTAGTGATGATGATGATGATGATGATGATGATGATGCTGATGATGATGTTTATGTTTTTAACTATTGGGATGATGGTGCTGCTGCTGCTGCTGCTGAGCCTGAGCATGATGAGAAAGTGGAGGTTGAAAGCAAAAAGAGCGTTTGGTGGTTTCTTGAAAATTCATTGCAACTCCACAGAGCACCTATCATTGACAGCTTCTGCATGGAACTCGGTCCAACGTGTCCTACTGATGCTCATGTCGGGAAGTGGGTTGCATACGCTGTTGATCGCCTCGTGCTTGATATGAAACTCAATCTCCTCTGGTCCGCTGAGCCAACCAGCTTGCCCAAGAGCCTTTACTCCTGCGAACATCTCGCGACACTGACTCTCTCCAACAAGATTCTCGTGGATGTTCCTCCTTCCGCTTCCCTCCCATCCCTCACAATGCTCGAGCTTTACAGGGTGGTTTACAAAGATGATGATTCTCTGGTTAGGCTCTTAGCGAACTGCCCTGTTCTTGAGAGACTGTTGGTGATACGAACGGCTGAGGATGACAATGTGACGAGCTTTCGTGTGCAAATGCCTAATTTATTGTACTTATCGTATAACAATTGTTATAGAGACAGCTATGGTGTAGGAGATACTGGTAGGTGCTTGGCCATAGATACTCTGGCATTAACATTCTTTAGACTTTATGATACTTCCGGAGACTCTTGCTCGATAGAGATGCCTTGTCTTGATACTGCAATTATCGACACTGGTTCTTATCCTGATGACAAGTTTGTAATATCTCTTTCCTCGGTCGTGCATCTTAAGTTGTATTTGACTCCTGAATTGGTATACATCTCTCTTATTGAGGATAAGGATTATCAAAATATATTGTGATAAGGATTAGGAGAGTTTGTGTCTATCTAATGTTCATAAACGTTTGTATAAATACCCAAGTTTGGGATGTTAATAAGATCAAGTTAGTTCGATAACCAATTCTACATGGTATCAGAGCTAAGATCTCTTTAAACACACAGAAATTTTTCTAAATTCTTTCAATCGATAGTTTCGATTTTCTTCCCCTTGTTCGAACAAAAGATGGTTGATGATTCTTCCTCTCTTGTTCCTCAAACCCAAGGACCGACGGTCATCTCTCCTTACACGTTGGCTAGTTCTGACAACCCTGGTGCTGTAATTTCTTCTGTCCTATTGAACGAAACAAATTACAATGAATGGTCTCACGAGATGGTGAACGCTCTTCAGGCCAAACGAAAAACCGGTTTCATCAATGGTTCGATTCCGAAGCCACCAGACACCAGTTCTGATCTTGAAAACTGGAAAACGGTGAATTCGATGATTGTTGGGTGGATTCGTTCCTCCATTGAACCAAAGTTGAAATCCACAGTTACTTTCATAACTGATGCACACGAATTGTGGGATGAGTTAACACATCGTTTCTCAGTGGGAAATAATGTTCGTGTTCATCAGATCAAGTCCAAGCTTGCCTCATGTCGTCAAGATGGTCAATCTGTGGTCGAGTATTACGGCCGTTTGTGTAAGCTTTGGGACGAATTGAAGAGCTATCGATCAAACCCGGTGTGTTCCTGTGGAGTAACATTGTCTGCAATTGTGAAAGAAAGAGATGAAGAAAAGCTTCATCAGTTCTTAATGGGCCTTGATGATGCACGTTTTGGTGGGCTTTGTACAAACCTCATTAGTATGGACCCTTTACCAAGTATTGCTGTTGCTTACTCCAAGGTGGTTCGTGAGGAACAACGTCTTGCCTCTGCTCGTCTTCGTGAGCAAAAGAATGAAGCAGTTGGCTTCGTCGCTCGCCATGATCAACATGATCAATCTTCTGCAAAATCGGATTCGATTCTTGGAAAGGGACGTGTCTCATGTGCTCATTGTGGTCGAACAGGTCACGAACAAAAAGATTGTTGGCAACTGGTTGGATTTCCAGATTGGTGGGTGGAGCGTTCTGAGCGTGGCTCTACTGGTGGCCGCGGGTCTGGCAGTCGAGGCAAAGGAGGCCGTGGCTCAAGTGGTGGTCGTGGTTCTGGTCCAGTCGTCTCAGCTCATGCCACAAGCTCTAATTCCTCTGTTTTTCCGGAATTCTCAGCCGATCAGTTGCGTGTTTTGACACAAATGATTCAAGAAAAGTCAAGTACTCCTAACTCCGATCGTTTGTCTGGTAAGGATAAATTTGGTGATGTTATTTTAGACACTGGCGCGTCTCATCATATGACTGGTCTCCTCTCTATGATGACTAATATGGTGTCTATCTCACCATGTCCCGTGGGTTTCGCTGATGGTAGCAAGACGTTTGCTCTAAGTGTGGGAGTATTACCACTCTCGAACAAAGTCTCGTTGACTAATGTTCTTTATGTGCCTTCTCTGAATTGCACTTTAATTTCAGTTTCTCAAGTTTTGAAGCAAACAAAGGGAATTGCTCTGTTTACTGATACAATTTGTTATTTGCAGGACCGTTTGTCGAGGACTCTGATTGGAAGCGGTAAAGAGCGTGACGGTGTGTACTACCTTACGGATGTTGCTTCCACAAAGATACATGCGGCTAAAGTCTCTTTTGATCCAGCCTTGTGGCATCGTCGTTTAGGCCATCCGAGCTTTTCAGTGCTTTCTTCTTTGCCTTTGTTTTCATCTTCTTCTTCTTCCGCTGTTAGTTCTCACTCGTGTGATATATGTTTTCGGGCAAAACAAACACGAGAGGTTTTTCCAGACAGTATTAATAAAACGCAAGAATGCTTTTCTTTAATCCATTGTGATGTTTGGGGGCCATATAAAATTCCTTCTTCTTGCGGAGCAGTTTATTTTTTAACAATTGTTGATGACTTTTCAAGAGCAGTTTGGACGTATTTGTTACTTGCAAAATCAGAAGTACGTGGAATTCTTGTTAATTCTTTGGCATATGCTGAAAAACAATTTGGAAAAACAGTGAAGACGGTTCGTAGTGATAACGGCACGGAGTGTATGTGTCTATCTTCCTATTTCCGTGAAAAAGGGATCCTACATCAAACCTCTTGTGTCGGCACGCCACAACAAAATGGCCGAGTTGAAAGGAAACATCGGCACATTCTTAATGTCTCCCGAGCTTTGTTGTTCCAAGCTCACTTGCCCATCAAATTTTGGGGAGAGGCAGTCTTAACAGCTGCTTTTCTTATTAACCGTACTCCATCTTCTATTCACAAGGGTCGCACGCCGTATGAGATTCTTCATGGGTGTAAACCGGACTATTCTCAACTGCGTGTGTTTGGCTGTGCTTGCTACACTCATCGCCTTACCCGTGATAAAGATAAATTTGGGGAGCGTAGTCGATTGTGTGTTTTTCTTGGCTACCCCTTTGGCAAGAAAGGTTGGAAAGTTTACGATATGGAACGACATGAGTTTGTTGTTTCTCGAGATGTTGTCTTCTGTGAAGATGATTTTCCGTACTCTACTGAAAGTGTCTCTTCTGGTGTTCCTAATTCTGTTGTTCCACTAGACGGCGATTGGTTGGTCGACACTGTGCTTTCATCTACAACAACTACTAGTCCTGCTGAGGTGCCGAGTTCCTCTGTTGATCACTCGCCACCAACAACGTCCGTTGTTGGTCCTGTGCCTCCTAACGAAACACTAGTCGATGCACCGACGACTGTTGTCGATGATGTGGTCGAACGTGTTGATGATTCAACTCCGGTTGCTCCCACAGACGTAGTTTCTCCGTCTTCTCCTATCATTCCTCCTCCTACGCATCGTAAAAGTCAACGTCAGAAAACCCCTTCAGTTCGTTTGCATGACTACATTCTCTACAATGCTGTTAGTACACCCGATCACACTCACGCTCTTCCCGTTTCCTCTCCTTCGTCCTCGTCTTCGGTCCAAGGTACGTCTTTGTACCCTTTGACAAATTATATTTCTGATGACAATTTTACTTTAGGACATCGGGCGTACTTAGCAGCTGTAACCTCTAATGTTGAACCTAAACATTTTAAGGAGGCCGTTCTTGTTAAAGTTTGGAATGATGCTATGACTAAGGAGGTTGATGCCCTTGAAATAAATAAGACGTGGGATATTGTGGATTTGCCGCCTGGGAAAGTTGCCATTGGTAGTCAATGGGTCTATAAGACCAAATTTAATGCGGATGGTACCGTCGAACGTTATAAAGCGAGATTGGTTGTTCTCGGCAATAAACAAGTCGAAGGCATTGATTATCATGAAACATTTGCTCCGGTGGTACGGATGACAACCGTACGTACTTTGCTTCGCTTGGCTGCTGCACACAAATGGGAGGTTTTTCAAATGGATGTTCATAACGCCTTCTTACATGGGGATCTTCATGAGGAAGTTTACATGAAACTTCCTCCGGGTTTTCGTCACTCTCATCCCGGTAAAGTGTGTCGCCTTCGGAAGTCTCTTTATGGTTTAAAGCAGGCTCCGCGATGTTGGTTTAAGAAGCTCTCCGACTGTTTGCTCCGTTTTGGTTTCGTTCAATCCTATGATGACTACTCGCTCTTCTCCTATACTCGTAATGGCATTGAACTTCGGGTTCTTATTTATGTCGACGATTTACTTATTTGTGGCAATGACGGATACATGCTACATAAATTTAAAGACTACTTAGGGCGGTGTTTCTCTATGAAGGATTTGGGCAAGTTGAAGTATTTTCTCGGAATAGAGGTTGGTCGTGGTCCCGACGGCATCTTTCTTTCCCAACGGAAGTATACTTTAGATATCATCGCCGACAGTGGTAATCTTGGCTGCAAACCGGCGTTTACTCCTCTTGAACAGAACCATGGTCTCGCACGTGATGATGGACCGGTTCTTGTTGATCCAACACCATATCGTCGGTTGTTATATCTTCTTCATGCTAGACCAGAGTTAGCATATTCCGTTCATGTGTTAGCTCAGTTTATGAAAACGCCTCGTGAAGCGCATTGGGATGCTGCCTTGCGTGTTGTCCGGTATCTCAAAGGCTCTCCTGGTCAAGGTGTGTTTCTTAAATCTGATCAAGACCTTACTCTCACGGTCTATTGTGATTCAGATTGGTCTGCTTGTCCCCTCACTCGTCGTTCCTTAAGTGCATTTGTGGTTTTTATGGGTGATTCTCCTATTTCTTGGAAGACAAGAAAGCAAGACACCGTCTCTCATTCTTCTGCTGAGGCTGAGTATCGCGCTATGTCTGTTGCTCTTCGTGAAATAAAGTGGCTGCGCAAACTGTTGAAAGGATTGGGTATCGAACAAACAACGCCCACTCGTCTCTTCTGTGATAGTAAAGCTGCGATACACATTGCCTCTAATCCGGTCTTTCATGAGCGTACGAAACATATTGAGAATGATTGTCACTCGGTTCGTGATGCTGTTCGTGACGGCATTATTACAACACAACATGTCCGTACAAATGAACAGCTTGCTGATATAATGACCAAGGCTTTGGGTCGGGATCAGTTTCAAATTTTAATGTCCAAGTTGGGCATTCATGACCCACATGCTCCAACGTGAGGGGGGGTATTGAGGATAAGGATTATGAAAATATATTGTGATAAGGATTAGGAGAGTTTGTGTCTATCTTATGTTCATAAACGTTTGTATAAATACCCAAGTTTGGGATGTTAATAAGATCAAGTTAGTTCGATAACCAATTCTACATCTCTCTCACTCTCACTCATTGTTGCATCTTGCTACTGATATGTTGGCTTTGTTCATCACAGGTTGGGTGTTGCAGCACTATCAAATTTTCCCAGCTTACACACTTCACGATATGTCCAGAGAAAACAGATTGGGTGAAACCAACTATGCTTTTGCTTCAAAATTCTCCGAAATTAAAATCTCTCACGATCGTAAACGATTACGTACGTAGCCTCCCTCCTCCAACTTTGATGTGTTGAAATAAGTATGCGTTTGATATATATAACAGGTTTTTGCTTTGCAGAATTTTACCACCAAGGATCTTCCACTTTCATGGATTCAACCGAGTTCTGTTCCTGGATGCTTGTCGTCGCAACTCGAGATTATTGAATGGAATGGATATGAAAGGAGAAGTATCGAGGAAGAGTTCGTGACATACATCTTCGCAAACTCCGTGTGTTTAAAGACTGCAACATTCTATCTGAGTTGCTCCTCCAAGATGAAAAAGGAGTTCACAATGGAGAATTTGAAAGACATTCCTCGGGTTTCAACAGAATCCCAGCTTATAATTGAGTTTTTTCGAAAAAAAATCAAATAAAACATGATTATGTACTGAATAAAATTTTATGTTCATGTTTTACAAAGATAATGGAACATCTTGCGTGTATACACAGCTAGACCACGAATCAAACCTTTTAAAAAGATACACATATCCCTGTCTTGTTCTGTTGTGATAGATTACTACTCGGACTCCTCAGGACAAAGACATAACTTGCAACACTTCTTGTAATTTGGTTTTCTTGCTCAGTTTTAAAAACATATGTTTAAGATATCCCAGGCATAAAGTTTTGTTAATACAAGGAAGGAAAAAAAAAGTCATGAATATGATAGATTCAACCATAGAAATAACAGGACAAAGCTCGGAGTAGCAACAATTTTCAATGTGGGTAACCTAAACATATTATTACCAGATCTAAAAATGTTCTCTCTCTCTCACCAAGGCAAAACGCATAGGGACTGGACTGACTATGATACTCACTCTGATAGAGTTGCTTTGAGATCACCGCTCTCACTAAGCTCCATGATTATATCACATCCTCCAATTAACTCACCTTTGTAGTAAAGCTGAGGAAAAGTTGGCCAGTTCGAGAAATTCTTAATCCCTTGCCTTACTTCTTCATCAGTCAAGATATCAAACGATCCGAAGCTCACGTTTTCTCCTCTCAGTGCTTTCACAACTTTGGAGCTAAATCCGCATTGAGGTTCATCTGGTGAGCCTTTCATGAAAAGCATTACTTCCGAGGAGTTTATCAACGCCTTCAATCTATCTTCAAGGCTCTGTTTTCCAGCGATCCCTTTCTCGGACAAAACCTTTTTCAGCTCTCCACTCTTTTGCATCTCCAAGACAATGTCTGACCCGCCCATAAGCTCACCTTTCACGTAGAGCTGAGGATAGCTCGACCAGTTTGAATACACTTTAAGCCCTTGACGAACTTCATCATCTAAGAGTATATCAAAACTCCCAAACTCGATTTTTTCTTGGTTGAGAATCTCAACTACTTTCCCACTAAACCCACACTTTGGTTCTTCTGGTCTTCCTTTCATAAACAACATAACTGGTTTGGAATTGACCAGACCTTGGAGCCGAGCTCGAAGGGTCTCGCTTAAGCCCGTGTTGTCTGAACTTACTCCTCCTTTTACCGCTTCATCTTGACTTGCTTTTGAACCAACTGAAGTGATACCAAGATCTTTGAAAGCTTCTTTAAGTTCACCACTCTCATGCATCGCTATTGCGATATCAGCTCCACCAAGAAGCTCTCCGTTACAGTACAGCTGGGGAAACGTTGGCCAGTTAGAGAATTTCTTCAAACCCTCTCGCACTTCGTTGTCTGAAAGTATGTCAAAGCTTCCGAATTCAACCTTCTCATCTTTCAAGATGTCAACTACTTTCCTGCTAAACCCACACCTAGGCTCCTCAGGAACACCTTTCATGAATAACATGACAGGATGAGAGTTGGTGAGTTTCTCCAAACGGTTCTTGAGAGCATCTGCGGTAGATACAGGCTGAGCTCGGTCTTGCACAGTCGCTTTCGCATTCTCCTTCACAGTTTCAAGAATCGTTGGCCCAGCAGCCAACCCCAAGCTTGCAGGAGCAGCAGGCTCCGAAGACGTACTAGAACCAGCAACTTTGCCAACCTTATTGGCTAAACTTGATGGATCTGCCCCTTCAAGTGTATCCACAATTTTGCCATCCTTCAATAAGAAATTCATAACAAAAACCCAAAATCAGAAAGATGTAAACACCTTACAAAACAATCACTACAGTACAGTTACAAAGATCAAAGCTTTAAGCACACTCTGAATGCTATAAAGACAGAAACTTTTCAACCAAATAAGTATGATTTCATCAAGAAGTACTGCTAATAATGTCTTCTTCTAACACTGAAGCTAGATTGTTAGGGGAATCATCACCTTCCTCTTCTACAAGATTAACTAAAATCTAACAGAGACACAAACTAACCAAAACAAAAACCCTAAATCCAAAACTTTCGATCAAAACATAGGGAAAATTAAAACCTATAAACTTACCTTGAAGAAGACGAAATAGGGGACAGCAGCAACAGAGTAAGCCTCAGATATCTCAGGATGCTCCTCAGCTTCGACCTATGAGGAAACCATAAATTTCTATTAGAAAAAACCCAATTGAAAGACAACAAAAGATTTGACTGGTTGTAAAAGAGAGAGAAGAGACACGAACCCTAAAGAAGTGAGCACGAGGGAAATCAGTAGCGAGATGAGAGAAAACTTGATCCATCTGCTTGGAAGCGTCACACCAAGAAGCCCAGAAGTGAAGCACCACTGGTGCGCCGCTCTGGCGCAAGTTATCAAGCTCCGCCTTTGATGCCATATCCTTCACCGTACCACTCATCTTCCGAAAAAACCAACGAGACGATCTTCTTCTTCGAATTTTAGATTACACACAAAGTATACTTCTGTTGCTGGAGAACCAAGGGACGAGAGAGTTATGTAAGAAAAAAAAGTACTTTAGGTTTTTTTTTTTTTCCTTTTTGATGTGATGCTAATATTGCTCAATCATAGTTTACGATATTTATTTAGTTACCCTCTTAATTTAGTAAACCTTACTAATTTAGTAAACCTTACGAATTAGGATAATAATTAGATAAATTGTTAAATCAACCCTCCTCGAATTAGGATTCTCATAAAACCTAGTATTAGATGTTTGAGTTTTAGTACTGAATCAAACATCCAAAAAGATTCGTCCAACGTCCAAAGATAACAAAACAAGAACGCTTAATTCTTCTTCCTCGTCCAAAGACATAGCTTGAAACACTTCTTTGTAATTGTCCCATATATACACTGCTAAAACAAATTCACAAGGTAGTGTAAAGCTTGTATAATCCAACTTGATATTTCATCTTGGCCTCAAATACAACTATACAAGTATACATCAAGAATATAAAATTTGGAGGAACTTTTTTTTGCCAAGGTGTGACCAACATTTTTTTTAATAAACTTAGTTAATTTAGTAACATTTATTTTCTTTTAGGACAAATAATTTCATTCATGTTAAACTGAAATTACAAAATTAATTTACAAAAATTGGTAAAATAAATGATACATAGAAGATATAGCCACATAACTAAAAAATAAATTTATAATTTGTATTTGACAATGCTTATAGGCTTTTAGCTACTTACTAAGAAACTATTTAACTAACAAAAGTCAATTTGTTATTTTCTTTGACAAACTTCAGTTTTACTCGATAACTAGATCAATATCCGTGCAATAGCACGTGTTATATTTTGTTTTATACATAATTTCTATGTTTATATGTTAATCAAATTTTGATATGTTATGTTACTTATAATTATTTTTGCCTTCTGTTATACGCATCATAATTTTTGTAAACAGAACAATTTATACTCGTTTTCAAAAAAATCATGGCATATGCAAAAAAAAATCTACATTTTTATTACTATATGAATGATATGATAGTTTTATTTTTTGACAAGAATATAATCTTATAAAGATGAAAGGTGAATTATAATAATTGAAAAAAGTAATATGATAAGTTAGATATCAAATCTTCTATCTTTATTTTGATTGGTCACTGATTTAAAATAATAATAATAATAATAATAATAATAATAATAATAATAATAATAATAATAATAATAATGTATTTTATTTTGTATAGTTAAATTCAATTAAATAAATTATTATTTCACATTTTTATCTTTAATGATTATTACTAATTCATTCTTTAAAATCTATATTTGTAATGGCATTTGAATGTAATTACATACCATTAGTAAGATTATTTTTATAACGTACTTCCATTTTCATAAAAAGGGATAGTAACATCAAACCAAATATAATAAAAATTAGTTCCATTGATTCTATTGACATAAAAAGTTTGCTAAATATAAATTATCTCTCTGATTAATGATATTCTTACCTAGTAAATTTTAAAAAGTGGAGAGAAATTTTTTTAAAATAAACTATACAGTAGTATTATATAAAAAATAGAAATATTATCCTAATAGGAAAAAAACAAGAAAGTAATTTGGCAAAATTTAGGCTAACACTAAAATACACAAGTGAACAACATGACATAATCTGGGCATACTCCAAGTTGCTTGATATCTCACCACAACCGTTGATTTTCTGAATCATTGACACAATCTAACGGTCGTGATAAAGGCTGAGATGGTTCGATAAATACTTATTTAATATAATAAGTTCATCATCATTTAACCTAAAAATACCGATTTTAAATCTCTGTTTTTTTTCTTTGACAAACTCAATTTTAGTAAATAAATAGTAACATCAAACAAAGTATAATGATGATTAGTTCCGTTGATATTATTGACATTATTTCTCTGATTATTAATATCCTTACCTAGTAAATAAAAATGGAGAGAAGAATTTTGAAAATATATTATAGTATTATATACAAAGAAAATTTTGAAAATATTATCCTAGTAAGAAAAAAACAAGAAAGTAATTTGGCAGTAAATACACAAGTGAACCACATGACAGAATCTGGGCATACTCCAAGTTGCTTGACATCACACCACAACCGTTAAATCTTCTAAATGATTTACACAATCGAACGGTCTTGATAGAGCCCGAGATGGTTCGATAACCGAATCTTATGGAATCTTTTGGTTTTATAATGTTTTTCATAATCCGAGTAGGCCCATCTAATAACCAATAAGAGAGCTCTCTCTCTTCTCTCATCACTATCTCACAGAGAGATAGAGAGAGATGGAGAGGACTTTGCTTCAATGGAGATTATTGCCTCTTCTAGCTCTCATCGCTGCTCTTTTCTCCATCTTCTTCGCTTCTCCTCGCTCTTTCCAGGTTTCTGATCTCTCCATAACCGCCTTGTTCTGTTATCTGATTCGCCGGCGGATATGGCGGCTCTGTCTATTTCTCCCACTAATTCCGATGTTTTTGTTGTTGCAGGAAACTCAGGGGATCAATAGGTGTAGTCTTCTTCCTCATGATCATTACTGGATCTCAAGTAAACGCATCGTCACTCCAGATGGTCTCATCTCTGGTTCTGGTACGTTTTTTTTTGTTTGTTTCCATGGAACGAATCAGAATCCATCTGTTGAATTCATCAATTACAACACATGATTAGGACTTTGAATTAGGTTGCTTGTTATCCAAGACACTGATTTATTGAGTTTTGATGGTTGATCAAAGCTTTGGAAATCTTTAGAAGCATCTATATTCTAGTTAGCATACTCTTGATTTTGATTTGTTGATCAGTGGAGGTGAATGGAGGCATTATTGTGTCGGTGGTGAAGGAAGTTGATTGGCATAAGAGCCAAAGGAGTCGAGTGAAAGTGATTGACTATGGAGAAGCTGTCCTCATGCCTGGTCTCATTGATGTGTAAGTTATCTTTTAGACCATCTGTTATGTTTGGTAGCTTAGAATCTTGGAACTTTAATTCACCTGTTATTCCCCTCTTGTTGTAAAGACATGCTCATCTTGATGATCCTGGAAGAAGTGAATGGGAAGGGTTTCCTTCTGGAACAAAGGCTGCAGCTGCTGGTAATCATATATGTTTCTCGTACTGAGACTTTTCTAGTTTCAAGAGTATTCTGTTTTGTCTCTTCGCGCTTACCTGCTTTGTTCAACTTCTTGACATTTGTCTTTGTCTGGCAGGGGGAATAACTACGTTGGTTGATATGCCCTTAAACAGTTGCCCTTCTACTGTATCTCCTGATACTTTGAAACTCAAGGTAAAGTGATACACTTTAGTTTTCCAGTTGGTAAGTTCCACACTATTCTTATAGCTTTGGTTGATCTGAATTCGAGCAATGCGTGCATCTTTTGCAGATTGAAGCTGCGAAAAACAGAATTCATGTTGATGTTGGTAAGCACTCTTAGCTATCAAACCTTACCACATATATTGATTCAAGACAAAACACGTGTTCCCTAAATCTTTGTTTCCATTTTTCTCCAGGGTTTTGGGGAGGTCTGGTACCTGACAATGCACTCAACTCAAGTGCTCTTGAGTCTCTCTTAGATGCTGGAGTTCTTGGACTCAAGGTAGGCATCATGTGTCCTATGAAGCTTTATGAAGCTGCGACTTGCTTTTCAGGTTTTAAGAGTCTTTTCTAACATGACTTATCTTAATTTTTTCAGTCCTTTATGTGTCCGTCAGGGATCAACGACTTTCCAATGACAAACATCACTCATATAAAGGTCTTCTTTCTTGAGTCTTATTCTTCTTGTCTCATGATTGAAGGATTATTATAGCATCGCGGATTGACTCTTTCTCGTACATATTGTTTGTGTCTGCAGGAAGGACTCTCTGTACTAGCTAGATATAGACGACCATTGCTTGTACACGCAGAGATTGAGAAAGACTCAGAGATTGAAGAGGGCAGTGAAAGCGATCCTCGTTCTTATCTGACTTATTTAAAAACCAGGCCAACTTCATGGTGAGACACTGAGTTCTTTCACTCTATCTAAATTCCTACTAGGCTACTAGAATGGTCATTATACCTGAAATGAATCTTTATTTGAGCAATTAGGGAGGAGGGAGCAATCCAAAACTTATTATCTGTTACTGGAAATACAAGGATTGGTGGTTCTGCAGAAGGAGCTCATGTTCATATTGTTCATTTATCTGATGCCAGTTCATCCTTGGATTTGATAAAGGTAGTTAAGACTTTGAGCAGTTAAATCACAATCATTTGGGTGTACCTCATTATATTTTGTCCTAAATTTGGTTGTTGGATTAAAGGAAGCAAAAGGCAAAGGAGACAGTGTTACTGTTGAAACATGCCCACATTATCTAGCTTTCTCAGCCGAAGAGATTCCAGAAGGTGATACTCGTTTCAAATGCTCTCCTCCTATACGTGATGCAGCCAACAGAGAAAAGTTGTGGGAAGCTATGATGGTATAATTTTTTCCATTTGAAATCCTTTATACCGTATGCGTGTTCAGTTCCTTGTTTCTGAATTTTTGATTTGATTTAGGAAGGAGACATTGATATGTTGAGCTCAGATCATTCACCTACAAAGCCTGAACTCAAACTCCTGAGTGATGGTAACTTCTTGAAAGCATGGGGTGGGATATCGTCTTTACAGGTTCGTTACAAGTCTTAACAGTGTCTTCATTATCGATGTTGTACATATTGATATTCGTAGTAATGATGAAGTCGGTAATATTTAGAAACTGTGAGAGCGAGCACAAATAACTCATGAAATTGTATCTGGTTGGAGCCAATTGCAGTTTGTTCTTCCAGTAACATGGTCTTACGGAAAAAAGCATGGAGTGACGCTCGAGCAGGTAGCTTCTTGGTGGAGCGATAGGCCTTCTAAACTCGCTGGACTACACTCCAAGGTGCCTGCCTTATTATAAGAACCACAGCTTGAATATTCTCTATTGATCGCAGCATTTAAGTATTGATGGAAACAAGAAAAAAAGAAGGAAGAAACAGTTGTGAATGATTTAATTACAGGGAGCTATTACGGTTGGAAAACACGC